TCCCATCAAAGATGTTGCAACTAGCATTTAGATGCAGCGCTAGATGGGGGGAATACAAAAAAAACCCAAAACAAACAAACAAAAAACCACACAAAACCCCCAACAAAAAAACCCAAGCAAACAAAACCACAAAAAAACCAACCCCCAAAATGAAAACAAACAAACAAAGTCTCTTTAACAAGGAAAAGGTTGCTGGATCGTTATTTAAAAATTAGAGACAGTTTTAGACCAGTGAACATTGACAGTACAGGTTGTTCTAGAAGCAGAAATAAGGACCCCCTCCTCTATTCAACAAACTGCCTCAAAAATACAGCACTTATGAGAAGAACATCTGGCTTTCAGATTCCTGCCAAAAAAAAAAAAAGTACTTATGAGCTTAAACAGATTTAAGAGCAGAAGCAGCAGTATTGATTTTTAGCACACTTGGCACACACACTTGCTCCTCAGCACTGCAAGGACACAGATTGCTGCTAAAATAAACACGAAGAACATGAAAATGGATTGTTGTATTGTTAAATGGACTAGTGGACTATTAATCAGAGGTAAATATTTCCCTCATGTATTTTGGTCACATCAGGCATTGCACCAGGACTACTCTTCATGTCAATGAATGCAGACAAATTGGTCAGTGATTTCCATGTGGATGGGTGTTGCCTACGTGTCCTGTGCATCCCAGTGAGGTGGGATTTCAAAAATGAAACATCCTGTTAACAGATGTAGGAGATTCTGTTCCAGCAGTGTGAAAAATAAAGGAAGAAAACAATTTAAAAAACAGACTCCTCCTAGACATCCTGAATGCAGATGCGAAAAAAACCCAGTTAATTTTACAGCTTTCTACTATAGAAAATTGTAGAAAAACCCAAAAAACAAAAACCAACAAACAAAAAACCCCAAACAACAACAAAAAAACCAAGCCACCAAACAAACAAGCAAACAGAAAAAGTAAAACCAAGCCAACAAAAAAAGACAGCCAAAACACAAGATATACCAGGGCTATGAGTTGAATACAGAATATTCTGAGTTGGAAAGGACCCACAAATATCACCAGGTCCAACTCTGAAATGAATGGTCCATACAGGAATCAAACCCACAACCTTGCTGTTATTAGCACCGTGCTCCAACTGGGCTAATCTCAGAGTGCAGACTTCCTACTACAGGAAGTATAATTCTCACTCATTTTAACATCCATCACCAATGCTCCCAACCTAAACCAGCTTGTCAAAGTACATAGCAGAATGCCACCTAACCATCTGATTGCTCTCAATTAGCCCACGGACATTTTCTGCATTTCTCCTTCTGTCAATGACTTTGACATCTTCCCTCCAACAAACCTTAGCACCATTTTAAAAACAGTTGCAGTCTGCATTGACCGCTTGTCAGCCACATAAAACAACCTCATCTCGCCAGAAGCAGAGGATATCTGTGCCCATCTGTGAAAGAGCTGAAACAGGTACACTGAAGGAACCACCTCCTATACACAGTGAAAAATGCCATATGCTCATGGGATTTGTAAGACAAAGCCACTGATCCTTAGGAGCCTTCTGCTGGAGTTTTACTAACCATATCTCCATGTCCAAGGCAAATGGAGGTTGCAAGGCACCATCTGTAACTCTGTGCCATTGATACTGAGAGAAACTAATCAAGGGGATTCTGTCCCATATGTTGAAGGAGGGAATGGGATACTTTTTTCAGGGGATGAGCAGATACATGCATCCTGTAGCAGAAACAATGGGATGTTGGAACAACAGTTTTAAGAAAAGTAAAGCACTGTCAAACTCTGTGTTCACATAAACCTCTAATATTTTGCTTACAGAGACTCACTGATATTTCTGCCCCTGAGAATTTTAGCAAAAGCAGTTCATCAGCTTTAACTTCTTTGGCTAGACAGTGGAACATCTGTATGTCCACTGGAAGAAAAACGAGGGAGAACTGTATGGCTGTGTTCAGTGTCTCTGGGTAGATAAAACTCTCCCTGAAGGTCTGAAGGAACCTTATCTGCACCATCTTCTCGGTAGCAGTCTTTACTAATATCAGTATCCTGAAGCTTCTTAACCTTTTGCACCTGAGATAACAGCATTCTATAAGCTGCAATTGCAGAAAGCTGAAAGGTGGGGTCCCCCCCAACCCTCATTTCATTAACCACTAAAATGGGGAAAAAAGAAAATAAAATAACACAAGGTTTCATGCTTTAAATCATACTATTTTTCCTTGAGAAGTAAACACACAGAACAGAAAAGCAAAAGTTCAAAAGCCTTATTTTCAGTGAAAGAGACACTTTCAAAGGAAATCTTGTCTTAGTCTACACATATTATCAGCAACTTACAACAGAAATCAGGAACATGTGCTCTTGTGCAGTACTTCAAAAGTAGCCCTAAGTGCACTTCTAAGTGTTATACTCTGACATTTTGTTCTATGGAATGTATAATTGGTAGGCTTATTGAAAAACTTCTCTTTTAGATAGAGAATCCTTACAGTATGAACCCATTATCATTTTTTCATCCAGCTTTTACCTTTATTTGATATCTCAGCCCTCCCAAATATCCTGAATCCTTACAATTCTGTCTTAAAAAGAACACCAAAAAAACCCACAAGCACACCAAATGTGTTGTGTTTTGACTGGTGTTTTTATGTGCCCATCTAGTCCAGCAACCAATCTCCATCAAGGCACAATTTTAAGAACTTCAAATTAAAATTTATCTGTCTAATTAGAAGATGGTATCAAAGAATAGAGAAAGTTCTTCTCCTCTTTGCAATTCTTTCAGTTACACTCACTAATTGACTTTTCTTAGTTTCGGTAATGAGTTCAGAAACTCAGTTTCAAGAATAATCTTACAGAGGTTTCCATTTGAACAAAGTTCAAAAAAAAAATAAAAAATCCTATGTGCAGTTTCTCTTTCAAGAGCCAGTGACTGGAATGAGGGAGCAGTTACTCTTCTATTCCCAATCATCTCATTGCAACAGCTTTCACCAAGAAGTTAATTAGATTTGCCGTCCTCTTGAGCAATTATAGCATTAAGTTACACTTAAAAGGTCTGTAGCAGATCCAGTTCAATGACCCCAGAAAACCTGAAATTATTTTAGGGTTCACAGGACATCCATCTTCACCCAATTCTTTCAATTTCTCTCTCTTCAGAGAGTACCAAAGGCTCTTGTTTTCATGTTTCTGGTACTTTTCAATAGAAATATATATAAAATAATACACATATATATATGTATATAAGTAAATATATATAAAGATTTTGTTACATCATCAGCTAAAATGAAAGAATGCTAGGACAAGGCAGTGAATTATTTCTGGTTTTGTGGAAACTTTCTGAGTGAGCTGCAGTAGTAACGGGAAGGTTTACTTCTGCATGGATTATTAATGTAACAGTACCAAAATACTTACATGTGTTCATTAATTTTCCACCACCCTCGCTCACAGCCTTTAATATTCTTCTCACTGATGGTATAGTTATGAAACTTCAGAGCTATACCAAGGCTCTTCTGTGGAGTCTGTTGTGAACAAGAAAGACAGTGAACATAAAACACAAAAGTCTATAAACTTATCTCAGCAATCATAGACCTTGGCAGTGCCACACTCTGGGAGCTCTGAGCCAGCTCAGCAGCCAGCACTTGAGACACATGCCAGCTATTCAGTCTTGAGTAAAAGCAAAGGCTGGCACAGCCCCACCACAGCTGCAGGCTTTCTCCCCCTCTAGCCAATCTCCTTTTCATCTTCAGAAAGCCACTGGCCAAAGAAAGCAGCATTTGTATCAAGACCAAAACACTCAAGCAAATCCAAGTTTACTTGTGTAGAGACACAGAGACCCAGTGGACTTTAAGAGCTAAGATACTGCATGGAATAACTGTGTTGTGTTACCTCTAGCACAATACTGTAGTCTTCTTCTAGTACCCGCTCAGCCAAGCATTCTTTAGTACTTTACAAAACATTTTTAAGCCCTGCAACATCATGAGTGTTCATAATTAGTTAGAAGTTCCTTTATTAAAAGGAACAGAACCTTTTTGCAAGACAAGGCAACATTCATTTAAAAACAAGGGCTGGTTCAGGGCAAAAATCCAGAAATGAAAATTTTTCTCCTCCTCTCTTGCAGAAAACACAATTTGGCAAATGAGGGAAGTTTCGTTATTGAATGACTGGGAAATTAAACTGGTTTGAGCAATAAATCTCGCAAGTTGCCCATGTTAAGTACCTAGAAACCTTTCCCTCAGAAGTCCAAGGTGAACTAAAGACATTGCATTTAGCAAAAAAACCCCCAAAACCAAAACCCACACCTTATCATTCTAGAAAAGGAAGAGGCTGTAGGTCATGGCTAGCTGGACTTGATTTCTATTGGTGTGATTTAATATGGGCAACCACTAGCTTTACAAGTCATGAGTAACATAAGCAGAGAGATTGGTAAATAGTGGACATCATCATATCCATTGCCATATTCCTTAGAGAAGAAAACACGGAAGAGCAAGCCCTAATTTTAGCAGCACTAATAGAGAAATATTCATGACAGAGAAGGCATGACAAAACTTTTTTAAACTGATGGAAATTTTCACAATTTGTTTTCAGGGAAGTACCTGAAAAGACACCGAAAAAAGGACACCAAGTTAAAAAAAGTCTGTGGGATTGTGCTGAAAGGACAGACTATCCTGAAGACAAATGAAACATATTAGACATATAAGAAGACATCAGAGAAGTGGCAGCAATAACGAGGTTAGAGGAGTCTTTTGTACACAAGTTTCATCCAAATTTCTGAGAGTGGGAAGAGGAGAGTTAAAACCAGTCAAGTCTTATATTTGCTGAAGTGAAGTAATTCTGCAGGTTGAACATCAAAACTTATCTCTTCACCTTTATAACTAGACAGCTTGGGAACTATGTTCTCTCTCTGTGGGGGATTTCGGCGGGACTGAGCCCCTGAGATGGAACGAGAGAGACTGGCTGAGAATGGAGGCCTTAGTCCTGACAACGTACTGATGCATCCTGAGAGAGTAGAGGAGCAGCAGGAGAGAGCTGTCCCGTGGGAACAGGGAACACTGTCTCATGAGAACGAGGACTTGTTTTGTACAGAGTGACTGAGAAAAATATAAACATCAAAGGAAAACGGGGACAGGTGCACAGAAGTGAGAAAGTAGAACTGAGAAAGTCCAGAGAAAGTCCAGTTAAAATCCACCTATAGCTGTGAGAATTGCAGTTTGTGTATGTAAGCTGACCTATATGTGTGATATACGTGTACAAAAAGAGCTGTATTTAAGAGGCTGTAAAGTGCAGCTCGTGGCTGCTGCTGCTTCCTTTTTTCCTTTCCAGTAAACTTTCTTGCTGAATATTACACGTCGTAGTCCGTCCCAACAACGACATCTCTCTTAAGAACAAATGCACAGAAAAAGAAAAAAGAAAAAACTGATACAAAACACCTGAGCACAGCCAGCTATTCAGCTGTGGTATTTCTATAAACTGCTGCACTTGTAAGGATGTAGTTACTGCCTGCTCAATTGATTCTGCTTAACCTCTGTGTGCCCAAAATACACAAAAGTGCCCGAGAGAGATTCATGTCACCTGAAAGTTCCATGCACAAAGACATTTTGGAGGATAATAGCTTGGGTAATAGGGACTTGTGATGCTCCCTTCGTAGCCAATTTTCTCTTTTGTCACTATTGCTTTTCCACACCCTAGAGGGAAAAAAAAAAAAAAAAAAAAAAGAAAGAGGCAAAATTTACTTCCAGTAAAGTTATTCAGTCAGCTAAAGCATCCACATTTATCAGAAGTCTTTCACTGCAAAGCAGAGCAGGTTAGGAGTTACATTTATCTGGGTTCAACTTGTAAAAAGAGACCCTTCCCATTGATGCACACAGAAGACAAGGAATCTAAAAGTCCAGAGGTGCTTGCTGGGCTCTCTGCAAGACCAGGAGAAAATATTGTGAAGTTTTATATTGGTTATTTCGCTGAAGGCAGTTCTGCAAACAAGCACATCAATACGTCCACACTGCAATAGTACACGAGGATCTTTAGTCTTAAAATGCAGCCAGCTAGCAGAGGAATGGACAATGTACTAAACTAATCAGCCTCCTGAAGTCAAAATTTTCTTTTTTATGGATTTACAGAATTCATTAAAAACAAAGCACACCCAGAGAAACCAACAAAGAAAACCCAGATCTGAATTTAAACAAACAAAACCCAAACAAATGAACAAGAAATGCAACCCACCCAGCCCTGAACTTGAAGTCTCTCAAGATGGAGATTTTATCACAGGCTTTTATGATGGTGTTTTAATGCTTAATTACTGTCAACACGGAAAGTATGCAGCATCTTTTTGAGCAACTTGAATTTCCTTGCACTGGATTGTGTTAGATTTTGCTCCTTGTGCTACTAGTGTGATATTCCTTGTACTACTTGTAATTATGATCTAACCACTTCTTAACGACTAAAGTAATAAAAAGCAAGTGATGGACCTGATGCACAAACTTAACTGACTCCTTTGTGTTCATGAGGAGTCAGGGACCGATAGCAAATGCAGACAAAGCTACTGAAGTTTTATTTTCTGAGAGCAGTTTTGAGTGCTGAACTCCCTCCACCTTTAACGTGATCCCGGAGTCGCAAGGCAGGAGAGAAGCCCGTGCTACACCTGAAATAACAGCTCCATCTACTGGAACACTGCGGTGCTCGCCAACTGAATTCAGGTCTGGTTTCAGCCTTTTACTTTCATATTTCACTTCACAGCTAGTCTGCTCAGATTAAACTACTAAAGAGGAAGGGAGATGCTCAATAATGCAGAGGAGACAAAGAAGAGAGACACACGTTTATAAAAAATTGGATATGAAATATAGGAGTCATTTATCTGTAGTCAGAAACATGACACCCTCATCAGGATCTTAGAAACAATAAATGCATTTCCAAACACAGAACAAACCTACTTTCTTGTGTAATGACCTCAAAATAGCCATGGAATTCCTTACGCTCCTTTACTTGTGCTGCCTTAAACATTACCAGCATGAGATTATTTGTGGACACAAGTGACACCAATGAATCAGCTGGTTCACAAGCTCTGAGGGGGAAGAAAGAAGAGCACATACATAAGAAATCAGCTAAAAAGTAAAAAGCCTAACACATTACTCTCATTCTATGCATGAGCTTTCCACTGGTTCAGATCTTACCTACTTGAAAGTCTAGTAAAAATCTCCATGCTCTTAAACGCAAAAGTACCTGTTACAAAGCCAGTTAGAAACCCAATATTAGAAATCACTTCTTACCGAAAAAGAAATTGTAAACATGAAAACTAGTATGGAACGGTTTGCTCTATGAGATAATGACTTTCAGCCTTCACTCCAAGTAAAAATAAATGAAGCCAATACTAAAGAAAGGGTTGTAGGAAGAAAAAGCTTATTTAATTAGACCAACAGATTTATCCACTTTTTGGGGAGTGGGAAAGACAAGAAAGTTATTCCTCAAGTCAGAAATTAAAAATCTGAGCCAATCAACTAGTCTCATTAAAAAAGTTACTTTCCACATGCATTACCTAACAGACATCTTCACTCCTCTACAGATACTAACATGTAAGTGAACACCATCTGCTGTATCATAGACAGATCAATTGGTGAGAGAGGTTAGTAGAGGACAGCTCTCAAAGAGGACTGAAAAGCCAATGCTCTGTTTTTGAGGCTTATAAACAAACTGACAGGTCAGAGAAAAGGATTTCAGGGGTGAAAACACTGAGCTCTTCATCTACTTCATGGAAATGCTGTCTTCTCCTTTTGGATTGACAGAGCCCTGTGGAATTAGTTATCAGGAATTTCAAGCAAAAAGTCCCTAAACAAGCACATTGGATCATTAAGAAGACAGAAGGAAAAGAAAAAAGTAATAGCCCACATTCCTCAACCCATCGCAGCTTTAACTCTAGGTTTTAAAAACCCTCTAAACAAATAAAGCAGATTAAACAAACACTGACTCGTGCCAGTAAGTAAAAAATCATGAGACTGAGTTTTAGAACTTCAGTCTTCATATGAAGAGCACTAATCTTTATCTAAAAGAAGAGTTTGCTTAAGGGAGGAAATTTTGACATTCACTTTCAGTTAACATCTATTTCCTGATAAGAAACAGAAAATTCCACTCAGTAATGTGTGACTTTCACAATTCTGTAGCTGCACTCTAGTTGAAGAATAAAGAAAAATTTGAAGAATATTTTACCATTTCTTTTATTACTAATGTCATGTTTTCCACTTTTGTAAGAAACTTAAAATTACCACGTGTCGTGTGAGTAATATGCGAATATCAGAATAATTCTAACAAAACAAAAACTACCAAAAATGCAAATGACAAATCTTTGGGGGCGGGGGAGGGGAAGAAGAAAAAAAAAGTCAATGAATGAAACTTTATACTCACCGGTACAGTATCTTATCTTTGATTGGCATCAGAGAGTCATAAATGGTTAGTGAGTCAGTGATGCAGTTATCTGCTTCAATCTGGAGGGATACTATTGAAAGGCGAATAAGATGGCCCACAGATGCAATAAGCTTAAAATAGCAGATTGTTCCCTCGGAGGCAGCCCGCATATCCAGAGGAAAGTGCTCATGCAGACGATCACCATACAGATCATACATACAATTTGTTCCTGTGAAAACGTCACATTTTCAACACTGGACACACTCACTCCAAAACACTTAAATTCACATGGCATTAAAGAAAAAAAATAAAATCCTAAAACATATGTTAAACTAAAGCAACATATGAAAGCATATCTAACTCAGAAAACAATGTAATTGCAGAATCATAAGGTGGTTTGAGTCACAAGAGATAACCCAGTTCCTGCCATGGAGGGGGGACACCTTCCACTCAAGCAGGTTGCTCCAAGCCTCTTCCAACCTGGCCTTGGACACTTCCAGGAATGGGGGATCTACAGCTTCTCTGGGCAACCTGTGCCAGTGCCTTACCACCCCCACACTGAAGAATTTCTTCTTACCCTAAATCCAAACCTACCCTTTTCCAGCTTAAAGCCATTCCCCCTTGTCCTTGTAAAGAATCTCTCTCTCATTTTCTCTGCCACTCACTGTTTTCACCTTAGTTACACATCTGTGGTCAAGGAAAAGTCTATTCATAAAAGTACAGAACATGGCCAACAGTGCTGTAACTCAGTTCTTGCAGTGTATTTGCACTAAAGCAATGCCATTTTGTATAATTTGCACCTAACAAAGTTCTGCAGAGTCTCTATAGGATAAATTACTTAAAAAATTATTTGCTGGGAAATGTTCATCTACTTTCAAGGCATAAATCAACTGCTTGCCCCTACAGACATTAGGATATTTATAATCAATAAAATAAAAACAAAATAAAAATGCAGCTACATGACTGTATTACTCCAGCTTTTTTATTGTTCAATTGTCAAGGTTTTCAAATGTTTTATCATGACTTGAGCTGTAAGTGCTACCAATAAATTCAGATTCACCAATTCCTTCAGTTTGGAAGGACTGCTAGGACTTTCTTGTTCATCGTCCTGCTCCAAGCAGGATCAGAATTAATTCAGACCAGGACTTTGTCCTGTCGAGTCTTGAAAACATTTGCAGCATTAGAAATCACTGTTAGAAATGGAAGTGCTTGGAAATACTGATGAGGCAACCTAGCCTACACAACACTTACATTAAAAAAAGAAGGTAAAAAGTTGTGTCATAATTTAGATAAGGATACCAGGAAACTGTGCTACTTGCATCCAATTTTCCAATCAAGCTGAAACAGTTGTAACTTCCAAGTCAAATACAGTGAGGTCTTTTTTAAAATTCAATATTGCAGCCCACAGTCAGCAAAAATCTTACAGATTTTTTTGTTTTGGAAAATGCAAATTAGGGAGAATAAGATCCAAAGTAAATATTTGCATTAATTTCTACCTATTAAGAAGACAAGTCTCTGAAATAGTTACTATCGTGGAACCTCAATTAGAACACAATGTTTCCTACCAATTGTTGACTCAAATTAAATGCTGGCCTTTTAACCAGCAAGTAATCAAGACAGGAAGTGGCAGGCTTTGTTTGACTTCCACTTCTAATTTACAATCTTGAAACTAATGCTATGAATGTTTATGAACAATCTCTAAGGGTCACATACCGTTCAACTGAATTACGGTTATAACTATTTAAAG